TCTGCTTGGCTTCATCATATTTCACTTGTCCATCAACAATGAAACCTTGAAACTGTCAGTCTGAGCGAAGTCATTAGATTGCCTCCAAAAAAGCAAGCTCTGCCAACTTTATCATGTCTTATGAACAGAACAAAAAGAAGCTCAACAATATAATTTATTCTGAGGCTTACGAGCAAACAAATCAAAAGAACTATGAATTGTTATCGGATAATGGGAAAGGTGATAACAATAAGTATACCAACATAATAATCTGACTAGCTACTTTCACTATACGAAACTGAGTTTCAATGCTAGTTTCTTTGGAAATCATTTGAATTCTTCGGCTGCTCGATAAAATCAATATCGTTTTCTGTTCCAAATTCCATCAAAGCAGCCAATTCGTCCTCAGTAACCAAGTTGATGGCAATTTTATTCGTGGGTTGTATGTTCCTAACTTGATAAATGTATCTGTCAATGTTGGAAGGAAGATCGAAGTTGATAACTACGGGGAACTGCAAAAGAAAAGTTTTAATATCTGTCAATGAAGATGTGGTTTAACCGTTGAAAAATCATGCTCGATATGTCCGTGTATGATAATAGCTTGTATACTACCGTTATGGAAATCATTAAAGATAAGGTTACGCTCTTCATCCGGCAAATCTTTGTGAATGATAGCAAAATCAATATTCCCATACTCCCTGAACTGTTGTTTGAGATCTTCCAAAAATTCTCCTGCATAGAACAGAAGAAATTTGGGAATTAAATGGTGCCGGTCGAGATCCACCACACAATCGAACTTAAGTTTCTGAAAAATGAAGTTTGAGAATGTGATAACGTGTTTTCGGCTTACTGTTTCTTCGACTTCCATGTAATAATGATAGACTTGAGCCATTTTGATGTGGCACAAACCTGCTTCTAGATTCACTTACCACGAATGATAACAGTATGAAATCGAGAAATCAATAGTGAGGTAGGAGATAAGGAAAACTGACTCTTTCTGAGAACTTGAAAAGCGTTAACTGATAAGATTCCTCATATACGGAAAAGATAGCCAACTCGAAGAGCTGATAAGAACTTTCATACACGAACAAAATAAAAAGTTACAGTGTGAGAATGGGGAAGCTTCTACCCGACAACAGAGAGACAGAGAGAGTAAGCTAGTCATTTTTTATAGACCAATTGAATTATAAAAAAGATGTACAAGAATGGGGGAAGCCAGAGTACAGTTCTATCTTATGCATGTCTGATGCCACCTCGGAGTTGTGAAGATAATGTAAGCCTCGGTCATTCATCAGCATACAGAATGCTTAAAGCAAAGCAAAGTGAACGCTAGAAGAAGAATCTTCATGATTTAGTACAGTGGGCAAAGCATTGGTCTTATCCTCATAGTGGCCTGCCTGTCTTATCATGTTCATCCTACTATTCTCTTTCTGTGGAAAAAAAAGAATATGTAATCCTCGGGCATTTATCTGCCTACAGGATGTGCAGTCAGTTCGCATACTTTTGTCACAATGCCCACATCAAGCGGAGCCGACAATAGATTTTCTGATATGTATGAAACAATCTGAAAAATGGAACTTTTTATGTAATGCTTTGAGCAGCTGAGGAGCCTCAGCACAACCGGTCTCTTACAACTGCAATCAAGAAATGAAAAATTACCGATAACTTTATATTGGAATGGAAAATTTGATTATGCTCTGGTAAAAAGATCACAACTCTCATCACAGGCTACTCAATTGTTTTTTGATATCTTCAATGAACACCAATTATGGATCGGTCATCACGGATCACTTCAAAGCCTCCATCCAAGACGCTTATTCCATCATAGCGACTTCGTACAAGTAAGGAAGTGAACTTTAATTATTTCGATTATAGTGGAAGGGTAAGAGTTTTCGAACCTTTTTCGTTAATTCTATATCCTCGCTTCCCACGATGCACACAGGCAAATTGGTTTTCTGGGCACTTTTCAAGGCTTCAACAATATTGTGGAGAGAAGAATCAGAAGGCGTTGGATAGGACAACGATCGTTGTACGGATCCTCTGTTGAAACTACAAACATCATTGATCAGTTATAATAGAGTATAAAAAATAGGTACTTACTCATTCTGATTCCTGATATCAATAACCAAAATTTGATCACGGGTGGCCCTCCAAACAAATTCCTCTTTACTCATACGAGGACAGTCCCAAGCTTTGAGTTCATG